CGGAAAAATTGAAAATACAAGAGCACGTGCACCTAACATTAAATAAATAAATATGTCTTTTTGATTTCGAGAAAGTACCAGAAAGTTCTCGCACGCGATTTAAAAATCTTATAAAAGGAGGCAAAACCTCTCAGTTCGTAAGTAGTTGCTTAGTTTCTTGTTGTTTTAAGAGTTTGTTTAGAAAACTGCTCTTGTTGATTGTAGCGAATTCGCGGGTTAGCTTTCTTTCAAGCTGTTTTGAATTAAGTTCTATTGGACATTTGAGTACTAGTTAAAAGATAACTACTGTGAGATATTGTAATACTGCATGATAATTTGAGAAAATTTAAGCATTTTTGTTGTGATAATAATAAATTTTTGTTCATTTTTCATCGGACTTGTGCATTCATTTCATAACGAACCCGTACGCACGCAACAATATGTTGTTTTTATTGTCTGATTAAGGTTTTTTTAAATTCATATTAATGGTCCGCCAAATATAAAATTATATATCCGTGAAGTCTAAGGGTTGACAACCGCTGTATTAAATAACACGATATGATAAACTGAGTATGGCCGACAAGACAGTTACAGATTGGTAGAATTACTCGCGGGAAGTTTGTACTCATAGCATTCTAAACAATGCTTCTTATATAATCAGGGAGCCTAACAAAGTTGTAGAAACCGGTGAAAGCTTTTTTTACGAAACACAAAAACGAAGCAGGTTGAGTTCTGATTGTTAATTAAATAAAGAAATGTCTATTCCATCAGAATTTCGCAGGAATGATTGGCACAATTTTGGTAGGATGTTCGCCAACGTTCAAGCCTCAGTTTCTTAGTCGACGGGAAAATATGTAAGTACCTTTATTTGTTAAGAAATATAACTGATCACATATAAGCTTTTGCTTAATTAACTAAGTTAATTTATTAGTGTTTTAATTAAAACAGTTATCACACAAATCATCATTAAAGGATTCTTAATATTATTAGTAGATGTAAAATAACAATATATTAATATAACATAAATAAATTACTTTCTTATAGCACATATTATATCATTACTGAAAGAGATATAATTAAATATATTTTCGAAAACAAATGAAATCTAATCTAATTTGGCACACTTATTCATGCTCCATTCACACCTTTAATATATCAGGATATAATTTAAGTGTCTAAAGCACTACATCATGAAGTCAATTAAAGTGTCTAAACCAATGTCAAAGTTCGAGCCATATAAATTTGGTCTTAGAAACGGCACGTCATAGTGTTTTAGCCATTTCAATTCACCCGTTCCATTAGATTTACTACTCCTAAATAAAAATTTTAGGTGCTTTACAAAATCGCGAAATTTAGCAATAAGTTGCCAAATTTTGTCTTTTGGAAAATACGATACATCGCCAAGCCCCAGATGTAGAGATGGATGAATACCCAAGGGAAGAACTTTTCTTATATCGTAAGGAGATATACTGAGATATTTCACTCTTGCATTTTTTTCAACAGATTATAAATTATTCTTTAGGTTTCATTTTCTTTTTCTATAATACAGAATTATAGTATATATGACCAAATCTCATTGGCGTCAGACCATGGTTCTTAATCTTTTTGAAGTTTTTCTACTTATTACGTGCTTCGCCCTTAGGCACTATACGGAAAGGAAGGGATGCCCCGTGGAGGTCTTTTTAAGAGAAACTGCTTCATATCCATGTTACACACGGGAAAAACCACGAAAACGCCCATGCACCCAAACCGTTTGCTGAGACTCGAATTCCAGACCGAACTAGTGTCCAGCCGCTTTTACAGCAAGGCTGCTGGTGGGCCATCTTTTTTAAGCTGGGGAACACTAAACTGCGACTTTTTTTTTCGCGGCCTCGAAAGTGCTCGTGGCACGATTTGCAGAATATGGTCATCAAAATAAGACAGACTGGAACAATACCTGCTTGTATTCATAGAATTCTAAATAGAATATTCCATTCATTGTTCGATTTTAGCCAACTTTCATGGTCAATGGGATAATACGTAAGTATATAACGCATAATTAATTATAATAACTGAATAACATATAAAGAGATAAATAAAAATTTAATAAAATAAATTAGTAAAATATATGGTTAAATAATGCAAGGGAGCAGCAGTTTTGTTGTTTTAGATCTGCCACTTGTTTTTGACTAACTTTGATCTCTGAATCCAAAAATAACCTCAAGTTTTGTCCATTGCGTCCACTTTTTAAGCTACAGAATACCTCTCTTTGTCTCAAAAGTCTTACAAATTATGTATTTATATTCATAAAAGGAAAATAAATAGAAAACTTACCAAATATACTGTTCAAAAGAGTAGTTTTATTCACGCAAAGACTATTATATAGTTACTGCAAGTTGAATTTTGTTCTACAAATAGTAAAGGTTTTTTTTATCAAAGAGTAAATATGTTCATAAAGGTAAAAATTTGTGGCTTTTTCTGGTGTGTTTAACCTGTGGATACAGTCATCATATGCAGATCATAGTCTACCTTGGTAATGAGCCTCCATGACCTAGAATTGCTCTTGCTAGAATCGTTCACTGCTCATCAATGAGTGGGTGCACAAAGAAATTTCGAAACGTTATCAAGATAGTATGTAAAAAGTGCAGTTTGATGCTGATATTGCAACCAAGCGCTTTGAAGCCCTCCAAAGGTTGTTGGATAATTTCGCTGTAATTCTGTGCTCGTGTGTTTCTAAGAAAGCCTTTGACAATGTTTTTGAATGCCAACCATGCATTCTTTTGAAGTTCTGTCATTATTCGGATGAAATGTTCATCTTTAACGAGCTGCTGAATCTGCGGACAATCAAACACACCGGCTTTTACCTTTTCGAATGATAGGCTAGGAAATGTAGAAATGAGATACTTGAAACAGTCTTCTTCAGTTAGCAGAGCATTAACAAATTGCTTCATGAGACCCAATTTTATATGCAGATGAGCAAATGTAATGTTCTTTCTGTCGTAAGTGGCTGATGTAGAATGTTTGGATCTGTAGGTTTCAGGTCAGATCTTGGCGGCCTATTCGACTGCACCCAATGCTTCTCACGACCTCTGTTGTCCCACATATTCATAAAAGAGGGATACTCGGTATATCGTTGCTGGACAAGGTGGAAGCACACCATTTTAAGTTCAACACGGATGATCCATTCGTGCATGCAATAAATCAGTATGGCTAATATAATATCTCTTTATGGCTTCATATTCTTCACACAAACTGAATGGCCTATTGGTGCTGCACTAAATAAATTTCCATTGTGGAGGAGGATACACTTTAATTTGCGCTTTGAGGTATCGGTGAACAATGGCCATTGCGTTGCGTTTATAGGTTGAAATTTCCATAAGCATGCATATTTAAGTTTAAAACGGTTTAAAAATCGAACTCAACAGAAATTGTATTGCAAATTGTTTTCCAGTGTAACAAATCTGATTGAATAAATCTTATCTTTATCTTATTGGAGCTCAAACTAGAGTTACAAGTTCATTCAAAAGCTGAGAAATACCACAGAACGGCTTCTGTAGTCTTTGACTGAATTTATACCCTGCTAGTAACGCAACCTATAACGCATATAATGATAGCCAGATCCTTTTACAATACGAACTACCTTCAAGAAATTAAAAAAAGAGGGGGATAAAGGGAAAGGGAGGATTTTTTTTAATTTGATTTGTTACTTTGTCAAAACAATCCTTGAAGCAAACGCGTGGTTTTTAATTGCTAGCTTCAACGTTGTTAACGATATAGGATATTTTTTTATTAACATAAAATTCAGTTAAGGGCTCTTGATGGCAGACACGCGACAAATGCCGTATTAAAAAGTAACCGTCAAGTAAACAGAATGCAATTATATTATTTCTTTCTCAGGACTTAGTAATGCATGCGCTTAAGAAGCGATATTGCATGTTTAACAATCTTGCATGTTTTTAAAAAGGTTTTTAAGGAAATACGTTTGACAAACTCTGCATAAATGACTTCTGAGTGCTTTAGATATCATGGTAACAGGTGAAAACAATCGCGGACGAAGATGTTGCGGTAAAAACAATATAGGGAGAGAACATTGGTGATCAAAACATCATAGGAGAAAAGGAAGCTGGGAGAAAATATCGCAATTCTAAAAGTCGTAGTATAAATCATCAAATCGTAGAAAATGAAATGGTTCAAAAACAGGTAGTTTTAAAACATCGTTGTAAAAATAAAGCACCAACCTATCGTCCCATGATGATATGTGTTTCTTTACTTTAAGAATTCTAAATCTACGTTCGCATAACGATTCGAAGAAACAATGAAGGATATTTTTATCTCTATATTTAATATTTTTGAATTAACTGATACATTTTTACTGAAAAGCAAGTAGGTGACTTAAATATTCAAAAATTGAAAATGAGTAGAAAATTAATAAACTTATGCATTTGACCGTTAACAGTCGTTATTTAATTAATCTCTTTGATAAAATAGGCTTAGTGGTAACATCTTTCCATAAACTTGGACTGATGATGCGAACATGCATTTAAACTTTGAAACCTGAAAACACATGTCTGAGGTGTTATTATCATCCGATAATTTGTAGGTGCTTTATTTTTTACCATATTTTCCGCTAAGATGTTTTAAAACAGTGAAGTTTTTGAATAGCATTATTTTGTATCAAGATGTTTTCAAACTGCTATGTTTTCTCTTCCTATCTTTTTCTTACGATGTTTTTGTACGATGATGTTGTCATTTTGCGTACTTTTCTCCGCGATGTATTTGCCGCGGTATTTTCGGAAGATACCGGATATCATCTGAGCTCAGTAAACACTTTTTCTTGCCAGAAAACCAAAGTTGACCTTTTAAATGCGTAATTTTATGTTTCTATTCGACTACTTTGATTTTCATAACTTCTCATATTAACTCTAATTTCTAATCTAATATTAAAAATTTAGCTATAAATCTGAGCATTCTATTAGATACATCATATTTTACTTTACAATGACTTCACTGTTCCACTCAAGTACGAATACATATATGCATACCTTCATATTCACTTTTCTCGTAAATGGGATTCTGATTTCCATAACCACGACCATCTTTCGAATACGTATGAGATTTAGATCTAGATCGGCTTTCCCCATGTTCCAGTTGGAAGGAAGAGTGTCCTGTTTCTTCTTTGGACAAATCGGTCACTAAAGTTGATGTAGAAACTGTTACATTTTTCGTCGCAGATTTTTCGGCAGCCAGAGTAATTGAAATTACTGTACATAATATCAAAACCTGAGAAAAGAAAAACAGTTTATATTAAACAAATAGTAAAGTATCCTAATTATAAGGACATAAAATAATGATACACCTTAAAGGAATTTTATATCGTTTTAATTGCAGTTAGAAATCATTAATGTAAGTAATAGCTTATAATTATGCTATTATTTAATTATAATTATGCTTATATAATGTTATTTTAAAATGCAGTTTTGTGTGACGGACTTATCTCACTTGTCTGACAGTAACATCATAACAAGCCTACGGAATTCATTGTAACAAGGAGAGCAAGACTGCGTTTGTCGTTGGCAAGAATCTTGAACACCATACAGGTGACAATACGACTTTGCTCAGTTCCGCTTCCAGTTTTGTTGGAGAGCACTCTGGAGGGGGGCGGGTCGACGCTCTCTTCCCCTACCACCAACCTCTCAAGAGGACTTGGCAGTTAGCGTCGCTAACAACTATCCCGGTTGGGCGGCAAACGCAGCTTTTAAAACCATGTATACGAACAAGGGAAAAATATAGATATTGTAGATGTCTCTTATGAGGAAGTCCTGCAACTTCCTCATAAATAGAATTTTCAGTAGTTTTAAAATATATACCATATTTACTCGCGTACTTTTCCCCTTTAGCTAACACAAGGTTCTGAATTTTTTTAAAGTATTCTATCAATTTTTCCGCTTTCTCAAGACGTTCATCAATCGAGCTTCTTTAAATTTTAAAAGTGATTCGCCCAGGCAGTAGTCGTTTTCGTCTTATTGATTTGAGTTTTGGATACAGGGGCTCGGAATGACGAAGCAATGCTAGTGATGGCCAGCAAGGGATATCTAGTGCTTTTGATGATTCTAAAGATCATTGCACTTGAAAAGATAGACTGAACGGTAAGGATGGCAACACCATGCAAGCTGCAGCAGACGATACGGATAGCAGCAATTCCAACAGCATGAAATAATTTGAAGGCTGGGGTGTGGCAGTGGACAGCAATAAGAACGTGCGAGATTCAAAATTCAAGGATATAAAAATGAAGATGTCTTATTAGACTTTGCAATGTTAATATTACAACGTATTCTTAGTGTATTCTAAATTTCCCTTAACTAGATAATATTGTGGTAGTTGCCGGTACTCTGCCCATGAATATTTTTCTTTTGTTATATTCTTATTGAACCTGCTTGCTTTGGAAATTAAATTCTTCGAATAAATTTTTTCTCTTGCTTTTTCGCACGCTAAAACTATAAAAAAAGAAAGGAACACACGAGAGTAAATATGGTATATATAAATATTATCAGCTAAAAACACACACTGATAAAAAATTTAGCTGCTAAAATAAAGTAGACAGGCAAATAAAAATACGTAAATTATGAAGATTTTTGAAATTGCTTCGTAGTTTTCGATTTTTCAGAATTTCAAACTGATGTTTTCGAAATCTCAAAATCGATTCTCAGAACAAAAATATAAAATAATAAACGAATAAATGTATGCAGAATGTAATTTATACATTTATTCATAGTGCAGCTCCATTCATTTGCATTTTGTTTATAAGTTTTGTTAGTAAGATATCTACTTTCAATAAATAATTCTTCACACTTTTACTACAATTCACACAAGAAGACGTAAGTTTGTTTTTGACGTTATGGAATTACTAATAACTATTATAAGCAAAGAAGAAATTAAAAATTTGAAAAATATGGTCAGAATTTATCAAAATCCTGATTATTATCTTTTTTACAAGAGGAAGCTTCACATAAATGTAAGCTTTGTAATGCTGCAGGTTGAGTACCAAATAAATTCTAAACATCGTAATTAATAAACAAAGCTAAGAAGCTTATAAGCAATGCTAAGTAAATCGTCAACATTTGATGATTTTATTTCAAAGTGTAAAATGAAAATTTGGCAAATATTGGGCAAACGATTGAGATAAAACATTAAAATTATTTGATACTATAAAATTATTATAAATTAGATCAATAAGTGAGCAATAGAAACGAGCAATAGAACAATCATGAAACTTCATATTTAATAAAATGAGACTTCATTCATATTTCATAACTTAAAACTTCATATTTAATATTTTTGTGTATTATGTATTAGTATTTAATAGCTAATTTTAACTGATATCCTTATTTTTTAATGCAAAGAATCGACTACATTTTTATAGACTAGTTTCGAACTCAAGGTTGGCATATCTTCCTTGTTAGTTCATGGAATAATCTATGAGGCCTAGACTTTTTTTTAATGTTTTATATACAGGCCAACCAAATGGTTGAGGATTAATCCATTTCAACTTTAACAATCCTTCTAATTGTAAACAAATTACAGGAAACAAAAAAAAAGTTAAAAGTTCTCACTTTGGAGTTTATTTATTCTATAAAGCATTTTAGAAATCTGTAAATAGCATTATCTCACAGAATTCATTCTGTAAGCCTTCGTTTTCAAAACTGTAGTTAATTCTTTTGTTTTTAATGGAAATACATGTTAAGCATATCTCCGTGAATATTGTGCATAAAGATATGAAGCGTTTTAACTAATTACAACTCTATAAGTGCATCATTAACTGGAATTTTTATTCTTTGAAAAGCACACAACAATTTGGACCTTTTTCTCATAGACTGCTTATCAGCTTATAGACAAAATGAAGGCTGTTGTCATAAAATTCTGCATTTTTATTTCAAGAAGCTTTGCAACGAGAAGTATATGTGTAGGTTCAATATCTGGGTAAGTAAAGTCAATAAGCTATCTTTTTGGAGCCTTGCTGCGTATGTTAAATTTGACTATACTGTAATTTACTTCAGAATTCTTTTTAAAAAATTCTATCCCATACTAATCGAAAATTTCTTCTTATTATACAATTATGTTTAGTAGCTAATTAAAAGTATTTCGTTTTTTTTCATCATTCTAAAAATAACTGAGGATTTCTGAATTATCACAAGTGCAGCTATGACCAAGGAACAATAATTGGCATTTATATACGTAATACAATGTTAAACTGCAATATAGCCATTAATAAAAAAAATTAAATTATTCTAGATTTTAGAAAGATTGGTCATTGCTTTAAGCTAAAACTGACCCGACTTCACTTCCTTTGGCCTTTAAACGTCTCACTATAAATGCTGTTTATAACGCTTATGTCGAGAAACTGAAGATGCTATCTGGAAACAAAGCGAAACATCAATTTTCGATCATCCATGACATTTACGAGTCTTTTTTTACATGGTCTGTTGCGTTCTATTACATGACGACCTCACAAAGAAAGTTCAAGCTAGATGGTGAAACTACAGTGCAGAATGTTAGGAAAAGGTGCATTTAGGATACTTTTTTTTCTTTTGTTAACTACAGTTCATGAAAAAAAAATGTTTTTTAGGTATTACATGGCAGTAAATGTAAATGCATATATGATACTAAACTATAAAATAAGCGTGCGATAGGATCTACTGGACGGTAAAATGATAACTCTTGACTGTAGCCATGAAGCTGATAGGTTAAAAATAATTATTACTTATTTGCTTAATAACCATGTATACCAAAAAGTAAGTTTATGAGTTTCTAACTAACAAAAATACCTAAAAATTACATGGCAGTAAAAATAAAATGTAAATATTATTTTGATTAATCCTATTTCATTTTATACTGTATTTCCTCGCGAATTTTTTGCCCTAGCCTTTTAGCATGAGGTTCTAAAATTTTTTAAATATTCACTTTTTAAAATATTCACTTCAATATTCACCCTTTCCTCAATAGATCCAGAGAACGAGCTCCTAAATTTTAGAATGGGTTCGCCTCCGTAGTGGTTATTTTCAGTTTAAAAGAAAAACGCTAACAAACTATATGCGAAGGTCACACCGAACCTTTTCCTTCTAATTGTTGAGCTTTATGCCAGCCTAATACAAGAATCGACCACCACAGTTAAATGAATCCGAACTGACATTCAAGCTACGTTAGCTATACATTTCACCATCTTTAAACATTTATAAATGATTTAAAGTCTAAGGAGTAGCAGAGACAACATCAAGAATGAGTGAGATTCAAGTTACAGGGAAGTAGAAATTAAAGTATCTTTTTATGTATTGTAATATTACTATTACTATGAATTCTTGTTGGAATGCAAGCTTCTTTTAAGGAAACAATATTGTGATAGTTACCCTTAGTTTATTCCTCATCTCGACCATGATATTTACGAGCCTTTTTTTCACATGATCTATTGCGCTCTATTATGTGGCTTACTGTAACCACGTCCTCTGGAAATTAGATTTTTCGCATAATATATCCCCCTCGATTTACGAACGATAAAGTTATCAAAAAAGGGTGAAATAAGCCAGGAAATACGGTATTAATTATGATATGATATGAGGGACGCAGCCCGACCCTCCTTGCAGACTTTACGTCGCCATTATAGCCTTTTTGCGGGGTGCGCCAGAGCAAGCTAGAAACAAACCTTCAACAAACAGACATAAGGAACATAACTAAAAGACAAAATTAAAATCTCTACTGCAAGCTTATAATGATTAATCTTCTCCATCATTTTCCATGCAAATTTTGTCAGTCTTTTAAATCATTTAAAATATCATATATATTAAAAACATCATTTTTCTTAAACTCGTTTCTGATATCAGTAAAATATTTATATGTTTCCACATAATGCTCCGCAGTTCCCGGCCAGATATCACAGAGGTCAGACTCTTGTAATTTAAACCTTTTAAAATAGAAAGGAAAACGGCCATGATCTGTAATGATTTGGTTAACGTCAATGTCTGAATAACATAAATCTTTTTTAAGTTTCACAAATTTCATATAACTTTTATTTCGATCAGACCTTTCCCACTTCTCCCACCCTTTATCATAAATATAATTTTTCATAATAGTCACAGCTTTCCTTGTTGATCCTTGTTTCCTTGTACATCAATATCACGACCATTAACATCGGTAATTGCCTCCTTGGCCAGTGCGTCCGCCCTCTCATTTCCAAAATATCCAACGTATGCTTTCACCCAATTAAACACAATATTTTGATCTTATCTCAA